AGGCCTCACTGATGGGAAGGACCTGGGTGTGTTCTCATCTCAATTCCCAGGACAGTCAGTTCTGCAACTCTTGCGTCTCCTCTTGCATGAAATGGACAGCTTCGTCCACCTTCTCGAAAGACGGCTGTCCTCTCACTCCTGGGGACTCTGGATCAGTGACAAGCTCGGGCCAAGCACCTTCGTCAACACAGAACGGTGGGCCTGGCTCTCCTGGTTCCCCCAGGGAGCTGAGTGTGGGTTCAAGATGCCTGCTCCACTCACCTGCTGTTGACCCTGCACCTTCAGCAGCGCTCTGCTCCTGGAGGGAGGGGCCCAGCACCAGCGTGCTGACCGTGAAGTGGGACAGTCTGGAAACACTGAGCACAGGCCGTCCTTCTTATTGGACGCTACCAGCAGCCAGCAGGGTGTGCTTTGATGAGTCTTTCCATTTCATGCTGGTAGAAAGACACTTCACCAGAGTGTCCTGTGAGGGACAGTTGTGACTGCTCTGCTTTCGACTCCATCCTTCCTGGCACATATGGGGTACATACTGGCTTTCCCAAGCTGCACTTCAGGACAAGCTCCCCTCTTTGGAAGTCCCACACCACATTCCTGGTGTGTAGGGTCTTGGGTGGGGGGAGGCTGCAATGGGCCAGAATCTCCTCCACGGTAAAGAATCAGGTGTCCCTGTCGCCATAAATGGTTCAACACTTGGGTACTAACTGGAAGGTGAAGTGGTTCAAGTCCCTCCAGGAGCCCCTCAGAAGAAAGGCCTGGAGATTGTGTGATAAATTAGCCTTGAACCTCAGGGAGCAGCTGTGCTCTGATCTGTATGGGTCACAACAGGTAAGCAGACAGTGAAACAGTTCCCCCCACCCTGCCCCCGGAGAGCTGGACACATGATCCAGGCCCCTGGCTGGCCTTTGACTGAAGGAAACACTCTACTTCCAGGCCTGAACTTCTACCTGGATCGAAGCACACTGTTAAAATAAGTCACTCTGAATAGCTCTTAAAATCTTTTTGGTTGATATTACATACCTCTCCCTTGGTAACAGCAATGAGATTTTACATCAAACATTCCTCTTTTTATGAGCTAAAGCAACACAATAGCAAAGGTCTCATAATAACAGAATTCAAGCCTCTTTAAGACAAGCCCTTCCTGAGACACTGCCCAGAGCCCAGAGTTTATATTCTGACCCCATCATCTGACTCCAAATGCTGAGAAACTTCTCAACTAAAAAACCCCCATCCAACTCCCAAGAAATGAAAACTGACATCTGCACAGATAAATGGAAGTGCTCGACAGCAGGGCCTAAAGTAACAGAACAAGCTCCCTGATCAACGGGGAACAGGGCACTTCGTCGTTTGATGCCTTCCAGTCGACGAGCACTAACCCTGTGGTTCGCCTGAACACAGTGACTGTGAATTCATGCCCAGGCCCAAGGAGCACGAATGTTACTGTAGGAAAATGATCTCCCAACTTTTTGTTTTTAAATATTTCTTACGGGGATTTCACATTACTCACTCGTTTTTATATACATTTACACCTTAAAGACAGTATACATTTCATGTGCACGTGGTAAACTGTTTCCTCAGCTAATTAAGGAAAAGCAGCAGCCCTTCGGTGAGATGGATAGACTCGGTGACTGGGTGTAGGTGTGTCAGAGATGATAAGGTTGGTTCAGGATAGAGCAAGGTTCAGAGCTGTAGTGCACAGGGTCGCAATGAGTTGTGAGAGACTCGATAGCGTGTAATAATCCTGTCATGGGGGAAGGCTTGGCAATCTCCTCCCACGCAATTAAACACCTCTGCAAACCTGCTGGAGTGTGGGCTATGGGTCAGGCCTAACTTGATGGTACTTAACAACTGCATGTGGTCTCCGTTAAAAAAATTTTGTCATAGAAGAGCTCACCTCACTTCTTTTCTTTACACACATCTTATAGACAACATTTACTCCAAACATATATGTGGGCCCTTGACCAAGGGAATGACTTTAGGAGTGGAGACTGCCCCCTCCCCAAATCAAAATAAAAACCTCCCAGGCTAGTGAATGCTCGCTAATTGAAGACTGTGCAAAAGGGTTAAAACGTTTCCCAGGTACAGGTCGGGTGGCTATTGTAAACGCTAGCCAAATAAAAGCCAGAACAGGAAGCCCAAAGGCCTGGGTCCCTTGGGCCAGCGTCTGTCTTAAATGATACCATTCGTCACCTTGTGGCTGTGCGCATGGTCGGAGGCCCGGGCTGTGCAGAGGCCGTCACAGCCTCCTGCTCTTCAAGCGTGTGACGCAGGGTTTTCATTTTAACAAACAGCAGCTTTCGTCACTGGCCTTTGAACGAGATACACACCGAATGGAATACTAGCAAGCTCCGAGATGCTCAGGCCTGCACCCAGAAACGTCATGCAGCTGGGATTACAGCAGCCCACAGACCAGACTCTGCAGAACCTCGTTTCTGTGCAAATGGCTTCAGAGTTTTAAAAAGTGCCACCATCAGCCAAGGCCCTCATGAAACGGGCCCTATGTGAGCAACATTTGCTTAGTGGGTTACTTTCCTGCATGTCAAACATGCAGGAGGAACGGGTTTTATGTGAGGTATCAGCAGTGAGTGTGGACACACCGGCCCTCCCCAGCACCGTGTGTGACCTGAGGTCGTTCATCCTACAGGATGGAAACAGCACAGGCCTGGTCACTGCCCTAACACAAAGGCTCCAGTGGCCCTCCCTCCCTGTGGATTGTCCCCGACGGGGCTTGTACAGAGGTCCCCACGCCACATCCTCCCATCAGCAACAAGTCCCGAGAGGGCCGATGCTCAACTTTGACCTGCAATTTACAAATCATTTTTCAAAAGGATTTTTTCTAAAGGGGGTTGTTGAAACATATTTTTGGCATTATCTGCGTGGGAGGAATCTTGCACGCTTGTTTTCTAAGAATAAATGAAAACAGCCTGCGAGCAGTTTCTCAATTTGGGGGGAGGAGGGGGTAGGGAGAACTGAGTTTCAGATTAGATTTTAAACCTGAGCAATTCGATTGTGGATGTATTTCTTTTTCCGTAGTTAGATCCAGTCTATCCCCTCCAAGCTGAACACATTCCTATCCTGCAGCTTAAGCACCCAACTCTTAAAACCCAGTGACTCTTTCATCTTTATGACCCTGCCATTAAAGGGGGTAGGGTAGAAGGCTTCACATTAGCAGAAGCCCTTGGCTGGTCCCATCCCACTGCTGGCATCCTGCACGGGGGAGGCAGCCCCCATCCGGGCTCTCACACAGTGGCCATGTGGGCAGCTGCAGTGTTCTGCCCATGTGGGCTGGGCTGGCTTCAATGGCCTCCTTTGATGTGAGGATTTTATGAGGCCGCCTCTGCATGCCCACTCACTTCCCCTGCTCCGTCCTCTTTGTTTGTGGGAGGCGGGCGGGCTGCAGGACTGAGGGACAGTGGAGGCCGCCCCATGTGGGCCGGGCCGGGCCGGCTCACCCTCGGCCCTAATGAGGACAGAGAGGCCCCGGCGGGCAGCACTCCTCTTCATAACTCAGCCGCAACACAGTGGCAATCGCCGTTGGTGCTATCTGTCTTCGGTGCAGTTGTGTGACACTGCAGCGTGAGCCATAATTTGGCAGCTATTTCCCGTGACGTCCCCTCCAGTGCAGCTGGAACGCTGAGCGAGGCCATCATTTGGTTCCATTTACCATATAAATTGTATTGTTGTGCGTGCATGCGAGCAGCTACATTAGGTACCTGAAAATGAGTAAATCTCTGAAAAACGTACCAAGGGCTCTTCCGCCACTGCCTCGCCTGGCTCCTCCCAGGGGAAGGGAGGAGGGATTACACGTAGTCCCAAACTTTGCTGCAGCAAAGGGGCTTAAGGGTGTTCCCATTTCCAAGCACCATGGAGGCTCCAGAAAGCCAGCACTTAAGGGGAGAAGGTGGTCAGGTCTCAGGTGACATTAGGGAGGTACTATGGGTGCTATGAACCCAGGCTTGTCATGGGTAGGGGAGTCTGCAGGGCACTGAAGGGGGCAGTGTGCAGGCAGATGGGCCCAGGAGTTCAGCAGAGCAGCCTCCACTTGGCCTTTCTCGTGTGTGGTCAGTGGTAACTCAAGACGATGACTGGAGACAGGCCGTGGCCTGCTGCCTTGGAGCAGAGCAGACACAGGGGCACCCCTTCTGTGTCTGAACGCTACCTCTGACTGAGCACACACGGCCCATAAGATAATGAGGCCCAACCCGGTGGGTGCTGCCCATGGGCCAGTTCCTGGTACTACTGTCTGCGTGCCAGCTCCCTCACCTAGAGCCCCCAGGGCAGCACGACTCTGGCCCACACCCCTCCCATCCCCGTGCACATGCAGACTCTCAAAGCCTACCTGCGTTCATGCACTTTCGACACCCACCTGCGGCTCAAAGGGAGAGGGATGCCCACTTTCCTTCGCACACACACCTCCCGGAAACGGAGGTGGGCAAAGAGCCTCTCGACATGGCCTCTGCTCACCCTATCATTTTCTCTAACAGCTTTTCATAACCAAGCTGGGGTGGGAAGATGGTCAGCTGGTGATTTAGAGGCCAAAGGGGCCCTTTTCCAAAACAGACAGGTTCCAACATGCTGCACCTCCTGGTGTCTGAACTCAGTCAGCCTGACAGCAAACTGCCCAGAGAAAAGAACTGGCCAACTGTCCTCACGACGCGCTTCAGAGTGGCACCGACACCAACACCCTCTGCAGTTGCATCAGGAATTCATTTAGTCCCCAGAACAATAAAAGCAGGGACGGCACTGCCCAGGACTGAGACGCCCGACGTGCACGTTTCATCTCGGAGTGACCGAGGCGTTTTATTAGCACTATTGTTTTTCTTTAGATGGTGGAGGGTTAAAGAGAGAGAGAGAGAGAGAGAGCAATGGATTCATTAACACCTTTCTTTTGTCTTAATCATCACTATACCCATTACCAACTAAAAAAGATGTAGATTTTTACCATTTCCGAGGCCTAACGTGCTCCCTTTCATCCTTGCTTGCTTTCCACCACTGTTGAGTTTTTACAACTTGCTGCTAACAGAGGGAGGTAGCTCAACGATGACTTTTCCAGTGTTTTTCCCTGTGTACATATAGTCCACAGCTCGGAAAACCGACTCCAGGCCTGTGAACCTGCCCCCTGGTGAGAGTGCACCGAGGTCCACCTGGCACACCAGTTCCCCATCTGTGTGCATCTTCAGCAAGCGGCCCATGGCCTCCGGACACCGGGACAGGTAGTGGGTGAGGAAGAAGCCGTGGACACTGGCGGATTTTTTCAGCAGTTTGGCTGGTAACAGCCCTGCCTTCACGGGTGCGAGGCCAGTGGGAGTCTGGTAGCCAGAAATAAACCCAATGATGATCAGACGCCCTTTGGTGGCCAACGCATTCACCGCCAAGTCAAACAGGGGTCCCCCCACGCACTCGTAGACCACGTCCACGCCATCGGGGTACTCCTGCTGGAGGACAGCACCCACATCCTCCATCTTATAGTTAATGGGGCGATCGCAGCCCACAGACCTCAGGAAAGCAGCCTTCTCCTCCGATGAGCAGGTCCCAATGACGTGGCATTTTGCCCTCTTTGAAAGTTGCACAGCAAACTGGCCTGTGCCCCCCGCCGCAGCAGTCACCAACACCTTCTGGCCTGGGGACAGTGCCCCCAGCTCCTCCAGGCTGAGGTAGGCTGTGGTACCGCTCACCAGCAGGGAGAGGTACTCGGGCTCCAGAGAGGGCACTGCAGTGGCAGCGCTAGCAGGCACCACTGTGTACTCAGCAAAAGAACCGGGTGCCAGGTAAGCTACTGCCTGGCCCACTGAGTACCTGGAACTGGCCGAGAGGCCCAAGGCCACTACCTCACCCAAGCCTTCAAAGCCCACATCGAAGGGGACCTTCACAGCAGGGTTGTAGCGGCCAGCAGAATAGTTGATGTCCGATGCATTAACACCTATGAAGCTGAAGAGAAGAGAAGTGCATTAGGACGCTTCCTTTGCCAAGGCCTCTCTGTCCACTTAAAAAAAGCTGCTGTAATTCCCCGAGGGGCTGCTTGGCTACACAGTCTGATACAATTCCAGAAATTAGTCCCATCCGCTCAGTAGAAAAAAGAAACCACACAAATATTAGTTTATTGATGATTTTCCATTTGAATTTCCGCCTGTTGTATCATTTCAGCATACTGCACACGGTTCCAGGCTTTAGGGGGAGGGGCCCTTCACTGTAAACCTCTAGTTACCCTGCCTAGCTCCCCCTCCCTTTTTTTTTTCTTTCAAGAAGAGTAAGGAAAAAAAATTAGGAAGTCCTTGTTACAGACAAGCTTCACTTGGGCGGGTGGTGGGTTGGCAATTAATTGTGCTCTTAGCAAAGATGTTAAAAACACCACAGGGATAAAATATATTCAAAGAGAGAGACTGTATTGATTCTGGCAACAATTTAACACTTGAGATAATAATAGTAATGACAAGGATACTATTAAAGATGGGTGTAACGCACAAGGTCACTGGCCACTTGTGGTCCCTGCAGGGTTGATTCTCAAACAGCGTGGCTGAACTGCAGAACATTTCTTTGTCTGGTGTGAAAATATGCATTATGATTCACTTAACAGCAGCAAAAAACTGTCTCCTAGGGCCCTGGACTTTAAAGGAACCTTCAACATTTTAGTTTTGTTTTTTTTTTTTTTTATATTTAATTTCAATGAACATCTACAGAGATTTTGGAATTCCATTCATTCACTGTTGCACTTTTCTCCTCTCCCCGCCCACCCCACCCCAGTTTGCTCCTCGTATTTTTTTTTCTTTTTTAAACATGAAAAGGAAAGCAAATCGTCCCTGCTTGTCCTCACCAAGAAGCAGAGAGGTGATCTGATTAATCACAGATGGCTATCTCCATGTTGGTGTGCAGATTCGCTTTTACTGTGAGACCAGCATCTTGACCAGCTTTTTCTTTCATCTCCCTCTAGCTCATAACAAAAATACCCTAGCCTCTAAGAGGGAAAGCCCTTATGGCCTAGTGTTCTAGAGGTGGCTGAGACGTGGAAAGGTGAATCCTAACAGGTCCCACGTCCACCAGTACCTGGGGGCTCGTGCAAAGCTAGTAAGAACATTTAAAAAGCATTCTCTGTGATATGTACTGAAGAAAAAGTCAATAAACCCCAAGTGCCCTGTGTAAGGAGGACACATTTAGAGCAACATGCTTCATGCGGGGCTGTAGAAAGCTTTCCAGACAGCTACAGTGTGCAAAGTTTCTGTCCAATGTAGGAAGAAGAAAGCAATTCCCACCTCTCCTCCATGGGCAGCTGCACCCAGAAACCAGAGTCCACAGCTTTGGCCACCTGGCCCTCAGTTCCATAGCCACCCTGACAAGTGGGTGGGGAGGTGGGGGGTGAGGAGGTGATGGGTGGGGGACGCTTTCTCAGCGCTTCTCTCCTGGTATGTTAGTGCTAAGATGTCCAGCCATCTTTCCTCTGCATTTACAGCCCTCTCTAGGCCGGGTCTGGTAGGAAAACGCCTCCACAGGGGTCGGGGTTCTCCTCAGGAGGGTATATGGGTTCCTGTGGAAACCTTAGGAAGGCTGGCCTTGGAGTGGAAGAGCAGGCTGTGCTCTTGGGGGGGTGGGGAGATGGTGAGCTACCACTTAGGTTCCTGGAGGTTTCTCCATGGTTAACCGTTTGCTTCCCTCACCTCTCCCTGGCTCTTCTCTGGGCCCTCCACCCCTCCCAAACCCCAATGGGCTCTGGTAGCAGATGGAGCTCCAGTGCCTGACTTGGGCCCAGTCTTGGGGTTCTAGAGGCCAGAGAGTACGGGGCAGCAGGGGCCCTCTGGGGGCATCACTGAGGGCGGTGTGCTGGGGCCCTCTGCAGAGAAAGAGTGAGTTCACCTGCCAGGCCCTGAGCTGGAGCTCCTCACTTCTAAGGAGCTGGGACAACCAAGCCGGAAGCCCGTCCCAGATAAGAGCAAGGAACAAGAATGGTCAACGCCAAGGCCAGCTCTGCAGGGGACTGCAGGCTGGACACACGAAGCAGGCAAGAACAGCAGAGCCTGCAATGCCCTGCCTGGGTCTGGCAGTCCCCTGCTGTTCCCTGGGTGCTCTCAGGAAGTGCCCGGGTCCTGTGTCCACTCATTTTCCACAAGGAGGTTGGCGATGCACACCACCACTTCAGCGCTGCCCCCCTTCACCACTGGGGGCCAGGAGCGCTCTGCCCCAAGAGGCAGGAAAAGCAATCTGGCTTTTCTTCGAAGCCTTCTACCACCACTCCCCCACCACTTCTTCAAGGTACACTGGGTGGCAAGGCCCTGGTCAGTAGTGGTGCCACTTGTCCTCTCCTGGGGCACTGCCACCATCCTGGTTCTTGCTGGTGACAGTGATCGTCCGGCCGCCTAGTGGCTGAAGGCCATTCTGGCGCCTGAGTCCTTACCTGGGTTTTGGGAAGAGCGCAGAACAAGGTCCACAGCCTGGTGCCTTCCTCTTCTCCATGAGAGACAAGTTCAAGAGCAATGCTAAGTAGGAGAAGGCTCTTGCTGGGAAGCAGGGGCATGAGAGGATGGGAGCCGGCAAGAAAGAGAAGGCACACTAGGCCAGCTGCACTTTTGGGGCCCCCCCACAGTCCCCATAATTTCAAATGTGTGCTTTTAAGGAGCACAGGGTTTAGGCAATCCAATGGGAAGATTCAACTAAAAAAAAAACGGACAACCCAGAAAGCCAAGGGAAAAAAAGGGGGCCATTTGGGGGCTTTCCCCAAATCCTCTTGTCTGGGTTTATTTATACTGAAAAGAGCTGAGGCCTTTAGTCATGTTTATTGTGAAAACAGGGCGATGCTGCAGGGGTGGAGGAGAACACTGCCCTTGGAACAAAACCCAAATGAAAGGCTCAAGTTCAGAGACAAAACAGAGTCCCAACCAGACCTGCCTCTAAAAACCTGCTTCTGCGTAAGTAGTTACCAGCCATCAAACAGCTCTCCCCTCCTCTTATCCACCCCAGAGACTCCTGCCTCCCTCCTTATCTTACACTTGCGTGGAAACTAAATAACCTACCACTCTTTTATTAAAAAAAAAGCCAAAACAAAACAAAACCAAAAAATGCCATGTACTGGGTCTTGATTTGGGGGGGAAGGGCTGCCTTTTGTCCTTTCATTTCTGTCTCTGAGCTGTGCATGGTCGGGGGTCTGAAGTGGTAAACTGGGCCATCCCTATTAATCCCTCACACCGTTTTCTGGACGTGGGCTCAAAGCACTTCCCTCCCTGGGACCTCCGCTCAGACCTGCGCCTCCTGACCTGTTTTCCGACAAAGGAGAAAGGGGCCCAGCACAAGGAAACCTCCCAAAATGGTACTAATGACCCGGGCCAAAGCCACTCACTCCAAACCAGATTTTCAAAATGAAAATGAAAAGTGTCCACAAAATGAAACAGGGCAAACAGCTTTTGGGAGACATTCAGTCTAAATGAAAATTAACGAAACCACAGTGAATTACCAAACCGCTATTCCTTGGGGGTAAAAAGGTTAAGACCACCTTCCAGAACAATGCTCTGCAAGAGTCAAGATTCATCGGCAGTTCTAGGGCAAGAGACTCCAAGAGCCGGGCCTAGCCCTCCTTTCTCTACAAAAAAGGCCTTTCTCCTCCCGCTGATTTCAGGGTCGGAGTTGGAGGTCAAATTGCTAAATGAACACACTATTTATATTAAAAGGTTTCTCGGCATGCGTGGGGGAGAACAAGAAGGGTGGATCCCAAAGTAATCCAAACCGGAGCGTTCTGAAGCCGGGAGCCTGCGTTTCCGCGCCCTGAACACCAAATTCAGGAACCACTTTGCGTGCCTCTGGATCACCTTGAGGCCCAAGGCCTCTATGTGAGCCCGGGGCCCCCGCCGCCTGGGAGTAGCCCTTAGGGAAGGTTGCAGGAGGGGTGGGAGGGCGACCGTGAGCAGGGAGGGTGAGAACAGAGGACGCAAAGCAGGTACCCAAGAAGGTGACAACACTCGCAGGTAGTTAAGCCTGAGAGCACCCGCCGAGGCCAGGCCGGGAGGAGCTACACCTCGCGCAGGTACGCGCGCTTCACTCAGCGCTCTAATCCCACTTCTCCCCGGGCCTGTTCCCTGCCCCCTCCTCACTTTACACCCGTTTCTGAAAGGGATTTTAGTCAAGCGTCCTGTGCTTGTGTTTCGGTGGTATCCTTAGAAAGAAACAGGGAAGAACTTTTGCCCATGTAAGTCGGGAGGGAGGCTTCTCCTCTTCCAACCCCCTGGTCTGTGCGGTACCTGCCCAGCGGCTCACTCCCGGCCCTCCGTCACCTGGCGGGCGCGAATGATCTTCCCTCTGGTTCGCAACTTAGCAAACTTTATGGAGAAGCCCCTTAGTGTCCACTCAGTCTTCCCTCAACTCTAATGCCCCCAACAGAGGCCTTAAATCTTGGTCTTGCGAGGCAGACCGCAGCCTCACAGAAGGGACCAAGGGGCGCCTTCCCCAGCTCCTCCGTCCCCACACTTGGTCCCTCAGTCCACTGAGAGGACAGCACACAAGCGATGACGCAGTTACGACAACAACCTTCTCGTCCTCGGAGTTCATGTTACGTAGCCTGAGACAAGCTCGATCCCACACCGCGGACGTTGGGGCACCGCTGGCGAAGCATGGAGGCCCGGGTATCCAGAGGCAGCCCCACGCAGAGTTCAGCTCCAAAAGGCGCCAGGCCCGCTCCTTCCTGTTGCTTCACCGGCTACTAGAGCTGAGTCACGTGGAAGCACCCCAGAGGGGGGTGGGGAAGGACAGTCAGAGCAGGGCCTTGACCTGAGGGTCACAAGAGTGTCTGCAAAAGCTTCGGGCAAATGCGCAATGCCCCCACCGCAGTCCCGCGCGACGCGCAGTGGCTCCCCTGCAGGGACAACTGTCCAGCGCCGACAAGGCGCAGATGGCACCGGCGCTGTGCCGGGAACACACCCTACGACCTGCACCGCCACTGCGCGGCCGCCGCCCACCTGGCGGGGAGGAGGCGCCGCCCGGGCTGCCCCGCGCCCTCGATCGGCCGGCGCGTCCCCCTAATGTCGCCGTGTGCGTCCAGGGTCCTGGCTCCGCGAAAGCGGGCTGCGCACGGTGGCCGCGGGTGCGGGTGGGCCGCGAGGGGAACCTCCCTTCTGGGTCGCGCGGTTTTATTTCGGTCGGGAGGGGGAGGAGGCGGGTTGGGGGAGGGGAGGAGAATCCCAAATTAAAATAAGCCCCGGCGAGGAGGCCGCCGGCGACTCCGGGAAGCGCCACCGCAACAAGAACCCGCAGTAGCGCTCGCCAGATGGCGGCGGGTGAACTTCCCGGAGCAGCCGGGCGGCGAAGCGAGCGCGGCCTGGGTCAGCGGGACGCGGGGCTCACCGGTTCCGGACGAGGAGGTCTCCATCCCCGGGGAGCGGCACCGCGCAGTCCCGGCGCAGGGTGACCGCCTCACGGAAGTTGGGGCTCAGCCGGGTCACCACCAGCTTCTGCATAACGCGGGGGATGGCGGAGCCCTGGAAGTCCAGGAAGTGGCGAGCGTACGACATGTCCACGATGGTCCGCAAAGCGCGCATT